TTGCCTTGCACACGGCAGACTAAGATGGAACGCTGGCACCCTATATGGTCTTCTGAGCCTGCCAGGAATACTCCCCGAGTACAGCCAGGTGCGACACACACACACACACACACACACACACACACACACACACACACACACACGTACACCAAAATAAGAAAATGAAATAGTTGGGGCTGCAGCGGGTAGGGCGTTTGCCTTGCATGCGGCCGACCCGGGTTCGATTCCCAGCATCCCATATGGTTCCCCGAGCATTGCCAGGAGTAATTCCTGAGTGCAGAGCCAGGAGCAACCCCTGAGCATCGCTGGGTGTGACCCTCCTCCACCCCCCCCCAAAAAAAGAAAATGAAATAAAATGGCTGTGTGCCTCAATGAATAATAAATAAACGTCTCTCGGGACTGATGGATCTCTGGAGGCCTTAACGCCCCATCCCCTACCGCCCCCAGTCATCCCCCCAGTACTTGGGAAACGAGGTCACCATTTCTGGAACTTGAAACATTTTATAATCTTGCTATAAAGTACTGGCTCACCTCTGAGTGAGAACAAAGGGGGGTTTTAGTTTTTGACTGAGTGTGTTTTAAACCTCTCAAACTCATTGAAGAACCTGCCATCATTCTGACAATTCAAAGAACACGGATTATGGGTATAATAGGCTTTTAAAAGAAGAATGTGTTAAATGGGGTTAAGACATGTGCTTTGCATGCAGTTGGTCTCCCGATTAATCCCCCTGGGCATGTCTGCGTACAGCATTGGGGTGACTGGGGTGACCCCAGCACAGCCTCGGGCCAAGGTCCCAAGGCCAGTGGGGTCTCGAGGGTCTTCTGAGCTCTGCTTGGGAGGCCCAGAAAGGAAAAACTGGTAAAGAATATATTAAAGTTAGCAAATACCATTTGTTCCCTGGGTTGAAATAGTGATATATGGAAACAAACATTTCATCATTTTATTGTTTGTTTACGCAATATTTGACCTGTCATTCAAATAACTTAAAAACATTTATTCAGTACCTCCCTCGATTATTTCCTTTTATTCAGCAGAATACTTGCAGATGCAAGGTAGAAAGTACATGTCATTAATTTTAATTCTAATTTCTGTAGAGCCCATAGGTAAAATTTAACTTTATATGACATATCATGTAAATAGTTGAAAATGTAAAGGTAAGGTAAAAGGTAAAGGCCCTCCCGTTGATCGTCGATTTGCTCGAGCGGGCCCAGTAACGTCTCCATTGGAGACTTTGTTGTTATTGTGTCTGGCATATCGAATACTCTCGGTAGCTTGCAGGGCTCTCCGAGAGGGGCGGAGGAATCGAAATGTAATTAGAGAAAATTGATGCCTGCAATAGTATCTCTTTTGGAGGGAACAGGGTTCCCATCTACCAGTGCTCAGGGCTGACTACTGGCTCTGTGTGTGCTCAGGGTTCACTCCTGGATGTGCTCAGGGGACTATTTGTGGTATCGGGGACAGAGTCCAGTTCAGCCACATGCAGGGAAAATGCCTGACCCCCTTACAACCTCTGAAACAGCATCATAGTTTACAAAACATCCACAGTTTACATCTTGTTCAGATAATCGGGACAAATCGTTTGGGGGCCTGGAATGATAATACAGTGGGTTGGGAGTTTGCCTTGCATGCAAACTAACCAGGGTTTGATCCCCAGTATCCCACATGGTCCTCTGTGCCCTGCCAGGAGTGATCTCTATAGCGCAGAGCCAGGAGTAAGCCCTCGCACTGCCAGTTGTGCCCCCCTGTCCAAAATACTTAGTTTCTTCATATTGTAGAGAAAAGAACTAAGATTCAGGCATGTTAAGTTCTTGGTTCCACTATTTACTTGGTGACCACAAACAAGTTACTTGATCCCTGTGCCATTTCTTTAACTTTGAACTGGAATTAATAATATTGCCTATCTCAGAGGGCATATGAAGATGAAATGAGTTAAATACATACACATAACACATTCAGGACAGAACCCGATGTATAGTTTTTGTTTGATAAATGCAACCTTACCTGTCAGCTTTACTATTACTGCACAACGTGTGTTAGGGCTGCTTCTAACTCCTCATCTAGGTTTCTTTGCGTTAGTACCATGTGGAATTTGTCTTTGAGTAAATCATTGATTTGCTTTCAATATTAGGTTGACTTTGTTATTCCTGAACGGGCCTTTTTCTACCTTGTTTACTTGACATTTAATTTCTGAAAAGCAAAAAGAAGATGTGTTTGGAGGACTCTTCCTTCCCAGTTTTCAGAAAAATCCTCTCATTTTAGGGCCTAAGAGAGATAGCGTGGGAAGTAAGGCATTTGCCTTGCAAACAGCTGCATCCTCCAGGTGAAATTAAAATGATTTTGTGGGTGATTTGGGGGTGTTTCTGAAAATTTTGTTTTTGTTGGAAGTAGCCTGAGGGAGAAGGAGTTGGGGAAAATTGATAGTCTTCTTTCTCAGCCCTTACCGACAGTGCTGAGAGAAGATGGCTGTTAATGGCAGCCTGCTCAGTACAGAGCAGAGATGAGATTTTTGTAAAAAGATTATTTGTTGTGAAAGAGCCCACCTGAAGAAATTGTTTTGGACCATTTCCTAGAAGGGGCGGAGGGTGGGGCTGAATGTGTCATTTTCCTTGTAGTGTTACCAGTTGCAGGCTTCCCTTTATGATTTCTGGTGGTTTTTGTTTGTTGGGGTCACACCTGGCGGTGCTTAGGGCTTCCTCCTGGCTCTGCACTCTGGGATCTTTATTCTGTGAGGTAAGCCCGAGTGGAAATCTGCGTGTTTTTTGTGTCTTGTTCAGCTGCCATAGGACGACACTCTTCTGCCCCTCTGAGGCCCAGGGCTCAGGCCCTTTTGGAGTCTGGAGATGGCTGAGGGTGAGCAGCCATGTGCAGGGATGCTTCCGTCAGCCAGAGGGTATTCAGAGCCAGTGACTGTGAGAAAACCCCAGCTCACTGAGCAGCCTTTCTGATGGGCTGTGCATCACGCACACGGTCAAGGTCCACGCTTAGAACGAGGCGTCCAGCCTGCCTCTTAGGACTGTTGGTAGATCCGTGCCACGCAGCACGTTCAAGGAGAGTCAGGATGCCCAAGATTTCCTTTGAGGTCGAGCACAGAACTGAGAGCAGAGGTGACAGCTGAGTGATTTAGCAAAGCTCGGGGAGTTAAGGAGAGACTGAATAATTGAGTGCTCAGGCTTAGACGAGCTCGTGACAGGCCTTTGCTCACCTGCTTTTCATAAAGGCCAGGGTAACAGTAAGTGCCAAGGTTGAACTTTGAACAGTTGTTTTCTGTTCTGAAACCTTTGCTGACTCTCTGTGTCAGGATGCTTGCTCCTCTGGGCACCCATGAGACTTTCATTTCCTCTTACCTCCCTCAGGTCTGTAGTAAGTAGCTAATTGTGCCAACTTCTATCTCACATAAGTCTCTTGAAAATGCGAACCTAATTTCATTCATCACATTTTTAAAAAAATAATGATGGTCTAAGGCCGGAGTGATAGTACAGCAGGTAAGGGGCTTGTCTTGCACATGTTATACTGGGTTTCAATCCCTGGCCATCCCGTTATGGTCCCCTGGATTCTGCCAGGAGTTATCCCTGAGTGCAGAGCTACGGGTAAGCTCAGGCATAGCCCCAAAACCAAAACTATAAAGTAATAATGATTGTGTTCCACTAGTAATGGTTGGTTGATAATGAACCTTAGTGAGTTGAACGGAACAAAATTCTTGATGAATAGCCTTCATTTTGCATTGTTTATAGCTTGTATATTTTGCCATGTGGTTGGAAAATGGCATATAAAATCACACTATTGTTGAACTTTTTGTTGTTGTCGACAGCTTTTGAGGCATGATTTACCCCTACTTTTCACCCATTTGAAATATATTGTTCATAGGGCCGGAGCAATAATATGGTGGGTAGGGCACTTACCTTGCACATAGCCAACCTGGGTTCAATCCCTTGCATCCCATCTGGTCCCCCAAGCACTGCCAGGAGTGATCCCTGAGTACAAAGCCAGGAGTAATCCCTGAGCACTGCTGGGTGTGTGACCCACAAGCCAAAAAAAAAATTTTTTTTTAAATAATAAAATGTAGAGTTCAGTGTTTTTCAGTGTGATCACAGTTAACAGACCCATCACTTTAATCAGTTACAGAAAATGTTCATCCTCACCAAGAAACACTGAACCCATTCCCTCCAGTCTCTGTGCTGGTTTCGTCCTGAGAGATGTGCCTCTCCTGGACACTCCATAGAAACAGAATCAGACCTTTTTGGTATTTTGTACCCATATCCCTAGGCCTGGAATAATGTTTTCAAAGTCTCCACGCTGCAGCATGTGTGAGAGCAAAAGGTAGGCAGGCAGGAGGGCAGGTGACGCATGATTCCTGGCTAGTGGTTGTGACTGAAACTCATGAGGAGTCGACCTGCCCTTGTGAAAGATAACCAGATAGGGGCCAGGAGATGATAGTAGTTAGGGCGCTTGCCTGGCAAATGCCCAGCTCGAGTTTCGATTTCCGGCACCACATGATCCCCCAAGCATTACCAGGTGCAGCCTTGGACCCCCCTCCCCTGCCCTCTCCACCGCCCAACGTCCTGATATGACCCTGGAGGCTCCCAGCACCCTGAACTCCAGGGCAGCTTCATATTCTCAGGCCCTTGCACCCAACCTGCAGCCTGGGTAGCTAGGAATCTCTGGTGGGAGTCCCGGATTTCCTGAGCATGGCTGGGAACCCCCAGCTCTGAGCCCTCCAGAAAGATAAACAGGTGTAGCACATGGGGATTCCATGGACGGTCTTCCGAGCGCTCTCCTGGGTGATCACGAGAATCAGACACAGTAATGTCTCCGAGCACCTAGTCCACTGTCTAGCCAGTGGGGATTTCAAGTGACCATCACTTACTTCCCTGAGTCCCTTTGCAGCTTCTAAGTTTCCAGTATGAAATTGTCAAAGTGCAATCATGAATTTTAATGGCTCTTTCGAGTTTAGTTAACTAACGCCTTCCCCCATTCCCTTTCTTCTGTTGTTCCCCCCAAGGCTACGCCTTTCTGCTGTTCCAGGAGGAGAGCTCGGTCCAAGCTTTGATAGACGCCTGCTTAGAAGAAGATGGGAAGCTCTACCTGTGCGTGTCCAGCCCCACCATCAAGGACAAACCGGTCAGTACTCCGCAGCCCACTAGTGCACTTCCCAAGCATGCATGCCACTGACTTAGCTGATGGCCTCCTCCTTGTCTCGGGAAAGCTGGTGACTAGTGTCTGCCGACTCGGGGTGACCTTGTATTGCAGTAAAGCCGGGCTGTTGGCGATGGGAAGTGCACAACAAATTACTCCGTTTCATTGTTTGCCGGTGGGACCACATGTAAGCAAATGTACCCTTGAGTTTCACTTTGCAGGTCTTCAAAGCTAATTCTTGTTCAGAAACTCTGGATTGAAGTAAATAATGCTCTCAGTGGTTTGGCCAGCTGGTTTCTGTCATCATTTCAAACCAAGGACAGGAGTAATGTCTTTTCCTCACAACCATCAGTATTTATGAGCCTTTGAAGGAAAAGTACTGTTGCCTGGTGGCACTCAAAGTCAGAGCCTTCTGGGCTCGGAGCGTACCAATCTAAAAGGAGTAGCTTTGAACAGGCGGGAGAGGGGACAGGCAGAGAAGTTGGAGCCAGAACCATGGGTAAATGCACACATGTGCAGTTTGTGCTTTCTGAGCCAAAGTGTGAGTTGTGAGTAAGAAAAGGAGATGCTTCCTCCCCCTAGCAGAGGGGTCCGTGGTCAGGGGTAGCACTGGACAGAGTGGAAGAAAATCATTTGGCGGACATGGCAGAAGGCAGGACTCTGTGAAGTGGGGGTGAGGGTGGGTTTCTGGATCAAGACTTGGTGTGAGGAGAGGGAGAGAGAATAAAAATGGTGATGTGCAAGGCACAGAAGATCAAGGCAAGTATTTTACGTGGGACCTGCCACAGTCCCTGTCAGACTTGCTCAAGGTGTGTCCTGCTTGGCGCTAGGTGTCAGTCATGTCAGAGACGTGCCTAAGGAAGTTGGTGTAAAGCGTGGACATTCTCCATTTGAGTCCTAACTCTCGCATATAAATATCTGCTTGGCTGTGAGTAAGTCGCCCAGTCCTTGCTGGCCCTGGCTTTCCTCATCTCTCAAGTGACAGGAATAAGGGAGCCGCTCCGGAATGTTGAGAGATTCAAATGAGAGGAGGAAAGTGACACCCTTTGGTAAGATCAGATATTTGTGGAAGTGTGACTGGATGTTATCATCGCCCTATACCGTATAGGATTCAGGAGAGTAGCTGAGTTCAACGCCATAGTGATATTGATTGGAGAGAATGGTAATATCTAGAACAGCATTTGATACTTGGTTGCCCAAGTATGGTGTGGGAGATGGCAGTATTGAAAGCAGAGGGGGAGTTGCTGAAGAATGGGAATTTCGAGTCACAGAAGAGTGACTAATGCAGAAAAAGCGAAGATTTTAGCAAGTGTGAAAGTGCCACTCTAATTTCGAATTCTGCAGCCATTGTCAAGCTTTAATGACCACGAGGATAACGTGGGACAGAGGTAGGGGGAAACAGCAGGTTGAGGAAAAGAGTGGGGAACCTTTATAACTCTGGTCTCAATTTAACAGGAGACAGGACTAACTAAAATGGGGGTGCAGTATTTCTTCTGAGTAAGTAATAAGGAATCTGACTTAACTTTTAAGTTTCTTTGGTGTAGGGTGAGATCAGGAGGACTCAACCCACCCTAGCAGGTTCCTCTGTCTGAGAGGTGACGGTCCCCAGGAGCCCTGTCCCTGCTCTCTGTCGGGCTGGGTGTGAGACAGGAGGGTTCGGGGTGAGATTGGTAGGCGAGAATAAGACTGTGTTCTTCTGTGTAAAAAGGCAGCAGTATCTGCTGCGATAGTTCTTCCCATGGGAGATAAAGAACTGTTGAATGGAGGGGAAGGGACGTGTGTCTCTGGCTCTGTGGCACAAGGGCAGTGGGCATCGACCTGCTCAAGAGGGCATGGGCAGTGGTGGTTTGCAGGCAGGGATGGCACGGAGGCAACTCCATTAGTTTTGAGTATTTTCTCCCCACACGTGTAGAGAGACATTAGATTGGTATCCTTGGCTTAAAGAACTTTTGAGAAGAATTAGTTTAATTATCTGTTTGGAAATGTTTGTGAGAAACTAACTTCGATTATTTTGTGTTTCTACAAATTTCTGCTTTTCCAGTTTTCACTCTGTGGGCCTCAAGGGAAGCAGCTTTTTATGGGAGCTAAGTGGTAACTGCCGGTTACATAGTTCTTCGTCCCAGGCAAACTCAGAATTTCTGCTTCAAAACAGTTTGAAAAAAAAAAAGAAAAAACCCAGTTTGAATATAGTTTAGGATGGAAAATTACAGAGCTCCTCCAAGTGCTACCCAGTCTAAGGAACGGAATCCCGTATGGGGGTCTAGCTCTTTCGGCTCTCTTTAGAGCCTCCTTTTCCTTGGCTTCAGCCTGGTTTCTGTATACCCCACCTCCTCTTGCACGCTCCCGGAGAACGAGAGCTGGCTCTGTGGGAGTCAGGCCTTGGCAGTAGCTCAAGGTGAGTCACCCCTCGAAGCTCCTCACCGAACTACTGCGCTGCTCCCCTCGGTTGGCTGCTGTGCAGAGTATAGTAGTGCTCGGACCCTGCCAGTGCCCTCTGACTGGTCCTCCTGGATTTTTTCCTTCGACACACCCCGGTTCCAGAATGACCCCCAAATGACCCCAGACATTTTCTGTCCCTTCCCCCATATTCTGTCCTCATTGCCTTTGTGTGGATTAAGTCATCAGATTGTTTTCCTTCTAGGAGAGCCTGGTAGCTAGAGCCCCCTTTCATTTAGCATTTCTAAGATCATGTGTTTTAAAATCAGATAAACACCTACTTAGCGGATTTCAGGTTGTATTACTGAGATCACCTTCTTGGTGGGACTATTTTCGTTTGTGGGCCACACTCAGTGGTGCTCAGGGATTGCTTCCGGCAGGGCTGGCAGGGCTCCGGAGATCCTCTGAATACACCAGGGATTGGACCAGAGTGAGCTGAGTGCAAGACAAGCACCTTAACCCCTGTGCTCACTCCCCTGTCCACCCTTTCTTCCCCCGCCCCCATTCTTTCTCCCCAGGTGCCAGAGATGAAGCCCAGTCTCAGGCATGCAAGGCCTGTGCTTTGTCACCGAGACAGCCCTAATCCATTCTCTTTTCTCTTTTTTTTTTCCTTTTTCTTTTTGGGTCACATCCGGCAATGCCCAGGGGTTACTCCTGGCTCTGCACTCAGGAATTACTCCTGGCGATGCTTCGGGGACCATATGGGATGCTGGGAATCGAACCAGGGTCAGCATGCAGGGTAAATGCCCTACCTGCTGTGCTATCACTCCAGCCCCCCATTCTCTTCTTTAAAGGACTCCATTCACACTATTCTGTGTATAGATCTGATCCTGAAAGATAGCAAAAGGAACTATATTAATGGCCTAATTGGCTCTATCCGAGGAATGGGAAGACAACTTAGGGAAGGCAGGAACCTTTGTAAACTTCCTAGATCTGTGGGACTTTTTGGTTTTCGTTTTCCTCCAGTGAGAGCAGATGTTCCAGGCATCCCAGAGGGAGGCGGTGCGGTGCCCTTGCCCAGTCTCCCAGTGAAGCTGGCAGATTTAATGACAAGTCTCTCATCAAGGTTATCCTAATTTTTGAATGTGTAAATAGATGGAACCTGAAGACTTAGCACAGCAAAACTTCAGAGGATGTGGCAGAGACAGACACTGAAAAGAGTAGCCTGTCAGAGTAGGTGAGAAAGACTAAGGATACTTTCTAGAATACCTTGTCATTTTTTTGGTTTTGTTTTTCAATTTTATTTTGTTTGGGCGCCATACCCAGTGGTGCTCAGTGGTTGCTCCTGGCTCTGCACTCAGGAATTATCCTTGGCAGTGCTTAGAGGACCATGTGGGATGCCGGGGATCAAATCCCAGATTCTGTACACCTGAAATGTGACAGATTTTGCTATATTTTGAAAAGCTGCCTTACCACACTGAATGAAGTAGCTTAGGAACTGTCAGTCATAGGTTATTATATCACTTTGAGATCTTTCTCTCTTATTTTAATGGTATATATTCTGGGGCCTGAGAGACAGTTCACTGGGTATGGCACTTGCCTTGCATGAAGCTGACGCAGGTTCAATCCCTGGTATCAGATATGATCCCCACGGACCACCAAGTGTGGCCCAAGTCCAAGCCCCTGCCCCAACTATGTACTCCTTCAAACTATGTTAGAAACTGTTGCGTGCAACACATTCTGTTGGTTCTTGTGAATCATAGCTTTAAGGGGCTGAGATACAGTTATAGAGTAGGGAATTTGCCTTGCACATGGCTAACCTGGATTTGATCCCCAGTACTCTATATGGTCCCCTGAGCACTACCAGAAGTGATATCAGAGTACAGAGCCACGAATAAGCCCTAGCACTGCTAGATGTGATCCAAAAGCCAAAATCAACTTTTCTGCAAAAAAAAAAAAATTTTTTTTAAATCATAAATTGACCATGAAACAGGCAGTAAATCCTGCATTCAAAATGTTAATAGTATAATGGACACTTTTTTAAAGTATTCAATTACACGTGCCTATTAGAGGCTGGCACATAAAAGGTTCTGTAGTTATTGGACCAGAGAGGTAGTACTACGAGTAGGGCACTTACCCTGCACATGCCTGATCCCAGGTTTGATCCCTAGCACCCCATGTGGTCCCCTGAGTACTACCAGGAGTGATCCCGAAGCATAGAGTCAGGAATAGACCTTGAAAAGACCCAGGTATGGCCCCCCCAAAAACCCCACATGCAATAAAAGGTTCTATGATTATTTGTCAATTTTTTTAAATCCATAAAATTCATAATATACAATTAATAGCACTGTAGCACTGTCCTTCCGTTGTTCATCAATTGGCTCGAGCGGGCACCAGTAAAACATCTCCATTGTGAGACTTGTTGTTACTGTTTTTGGCATATCGAATACATCATGGGGAGCTGCCAGGCTCTGCCTTGTGGGCGGGATACTCTCGGTAGCTTGCGAGGCTCTCCGAGAGGGGCAAAGAAATCGAACCCAGGTCAACTGCGTGCAAGGCAAACACCCTACCCCTGTGCTATCGCTCCGTCCCATACAATTAATATAAAT